CGGGGGGTAGGAGGGCGGTGGGGGGGTATCGTTTAATTACCGGGATGAAGACGCCGGGTCTAAGTACGGCGCTACATTTAGCTTGGCAACGAGTGATGTTTGTCACCGCAACTTGCCACTTTCCTTCATTTATAGTTCATCAGTTAATTGCCGAGGCTCGGGCGACGCGACGTGGGAGGCGTGAAACCGATTATTAAAGTTAAATGTCCGACTGTAAATTATCGTCTGATTTTCGCATCAATTTGTAATTGCGAATCGTTTGAATATAGTTTATAAAATTATCACTAATTAACAATCTATGATTGCTACGTATTTAGATAAATTAACCTTACGATCTAGTTAGATCTTTACTAACGTAAAGCATAACTAAGTTAAAACTTGGCAAGATACACTTTATTGGTATTCTAAGAGATCACTAAATCTAAGCACAAAGTTTAAGTATTATACCTACATTAAATAAATAAAAAAACTTATTTAATAATTAACTAAACAATATTTTAGTTGTTAGAGTGGTACCTACTTCTTAGTAAAACCTTTTAAAACTACAAATCGTCTCTCACCCCTTATTTAATTAAAGTCACCCTCAATGCAATGTTATCACTTCAAAAGTAAAAAGACATTATCGACTTTATTTCATTTTGAATAGAATTCAAAATTCAGAACGTTTTATATATTGTATGCAGTTAGAATAGTTACCTTTAGGACTGTCAGCCATTTTGTGGTTGTTTACATTTGGTATAACTTCACGGTGTACGATTTTTGGTGTAACGGAATGATTAAAAAATGGTATAATTAATTTGCTCAAATTCTATCTCACCATCATCATCATCTCCTTATCCTAGTCCCGTAGTGGCGCAACAGTTTTTTGTCCTCCACATAACTCTATCATACGTCATCTCAGTCATCACTCCCTTCTTGATGTCACCTTTCATGCAATCCATCCATCTCTTTCTAAGTCTACCTCTACCGGTGTACCTACCACACATAACTAACCTTCTCCTTGTAACATACTCGAATATTCTATCCAATAGATGTACCCGTGCGGCTACATCCGAAATTATGAGAATGTTTACATTTGTCAAATTATCAATAGCAAATGTCAAAATGACATGAGAAGACAAACTTTGGTAATTTTTCTTCCTTGATGTTGGCAGCAACTTATGGTCTCTTTCCCTCATTAGGGTTTTTATCCAAAATATTTACCCCCTGAGTTTAATCGCGTGAAAATATATAGCCTAAAGAATGACGTAAGTGTGGGGCTTTTTATTAAAAGAAGAATTATTCAAAGATATGCTGTAATTGCTGACATTTTAGGCAACAAAGAAGTGTGTGTTTACGCTTTATTATAATAGTATAGATTGACAAAAATGTGTTTCTAAAACATTTTAATTCCCACAATTTCAAACATGGGAACTAAAATTTTCATATTTAATTTAACCTTTGGGTATATTTAATTATAAAAAAATAATTAATTGCTTTGCGCGAATATTAAAATGGCTTAATCTAAAAATCTTCTACTTATTTAAATTTATTACTCAGGTTATAATTTAATAAAAATTTTTTTATGAAAAAATCTAAGTGTTTTTATATTAATTTATGTCCCCGTATTAATTAACATAACAGTAGCTAATAGTATAGCTTTAAAACTGCCTTTGACTATTAATATACAGGACCTGCCACACATTTAATAAAAACGAACGATAACTTGCTTGCTTTGTGCTTGTTTGTGAGTAAATTTAATCACTGTACATTCATAAAATCCATATAATTTTACATATATGATTCCTATCTTAACTTTATCCTCGCTAAATATTTGCTTAGTCCGTTATTCTATAGTCAAAGTACACCGCGAACGCGTTCCTAACTTAACGTTTAGTAACGTATTTTTAATTTAGTATAGAATAAAGTAAATTATAATCATAAGTTATTACAGATATAAAAATGTTCTACGTGATTTAATCTTACGAATGTATGTTTTTTAATTTTAAAACGATACAGTGGTCAAAAGACAATTTAAAAAATAAACAAGAAAATATCACTCTCCTAAATCTTTTACGCTTTATATGGAAGTAAATATTTGGTATCAATTGCGTAAAACTATTAAATACAACCAAAAAAATCAATTGTGATCGGCCATTAGCGAACCAATATTGTGTTATTAGTGTCGGTGCTATTTCCCATTAAATATTACGACCGGAACTGACGCCATATTGCGCGCTTTCCCGTGCCGCGATCGACCAATCATCGTCTATTTCCGGCGCCGCCATATTTAGGGTTTCCATAGATATGTCGAAATTGTTATTGTTCCATTATCTTTGCCGTTTTGTTTTTAATTGACTCTTGTAGTCTATACCTAAATCTTATGTTGATAATATTATTAACTAGCTTTCGTCCGCGACTCCGTCCATTTGGGATTTAAAATAAAGTATAACCTGTGTGTTCCACCAGACTATGCTCTACATCTATGCAAAATTTCATCGAGATCCGTTCATCCACTTAGGCTGCAAACTAACAAACATCCATCCATCTAAACATTTGCATTTACTCGTATAATATTAGTTAGATGAAAGTTTAGATGGATGGATATTTGTTAGATTTTGTAGCCTAAATGGCTGAACAGAGCTGGATGAAATTTGGGATAGATGAAGAGCATAGTCTGGAGTACACATAGGTGAGTATCCTTTTATTTTTGTTTTAATTCCACGGGGACGCAGTTGCGGGCGAAAACTACTACCTATCTAATAAAGGTAAAAATGTTCAGATGAGTTCGCTATAACTTTTCATCTCCGTTCTTCGTACATTAACAAGCAACAAGAACCACACTTTTGTTTTCAAACGAAAAGATCATCAAAACCGCAGACCACAGAACAAAAAATAACCTCAAATAATGAGCACCTATTACCGACCACACACCTTACGTGTTAATCACAAATAGAGACGTGACGTAATCACCGAGCAGGGAATCGAACCCGGACACTCGCAAATGACGTCACACGCCCACGGGATGTTTGTTTCCGCCCTTAGAGAAACAAAAAACAAGCGAAATTAACGCTTCCTAATGAAGTTGTAAAGGTAAAGACGTGGTCTTTGTGAACTTAAATTTAAAAACACTCGCGTAATCATAGTCCTGGGTTACTAAAAATACTGGAATCGGATTGAAATACTTCGCTTAGTAAGCGCCGTACAATCTGATAAATGTCATTTGTATGGAAGTTGGAGTTTAATCGACCTTATAATAGATTATAGTTACATGTTTAAATAACGTTTCAGTATTTAGCCGTTACAATCAAAAACAAAGGACTGCTCCCTTATTTGTTATTAAAAACTAAGTATCTTACTAATATTATAAATGCGAAAGCTTAGATGGATGGATGTTTGTTTGAGTTTGTAACCTCAACCGCTGAATAGATCTCGATGAAATTGGCATACCTAGATGTGGAGTATAGTTTGGAAGAACACATAGCGGTTAGGTACTTACTTTTATTTTTTAACCCTAAATTCGTTAGAGTCCAGTGTGATGAATAACTAATTTAAAAAAACTTACTGAACTAGTTTGGAGAAAAATACATGAGATTTTGATTTTAGTGTGTTGGTAACATATCATAAATCTGTTAAACCATCTTCTAGTTGGTTGAAATATATTTTCCAAAACAGGTGAGTTTTATCCATAAATTAGACAAAAAAAACTTAAATTGGTAGGTAACCACGTGTTCTACTAATGTTAGGCGATAATCCCCGGGCCACCCGCATCCGCCGCTCCTACTTATTACAATTTATGTGTTAAAACTAAATTGAGATGTGTTATAATGACCGCACCCGAAATTATGAATATCGTCCGTTGACGCACTCGTGTTGCGGACAATGTATTCAACCCGTATCCACCATTAATGATTATAAGTACATGCAACTATATTTTAACTCTTAATTCGTTAGAGTCCAGTGTGATGAACAACTAATTTAAAAAATCTACTGAACTAGTTCAGAGAAAAATACATGAGATTTTGATTTTAGTGTCATCAACTTGCTCTTATCCCCTTGTGGAGGGTCGGCACAGTATGTGCTGCTCTTCCATACATCTCTATCAGCTGTCAAATCTGAATCCAATCCTCTGATTTTGATTTTAGTGTGTTGGTAACAAATCTATAATATTTATTATTTTACTACAAAAAGCTCCTCCGAATTAAGAGTTAATTGGAATATAGAAATTAAATCTAAATTTATGATTAGTCGTTCATATTTGATGTCAATACATTTCCGTTAATGTTATCAATATATGAATAGCCCGAGAGGAGTGCTAAGTAAATGAAAACCGTTGTTATTTCTTAG